TTTTTAATGTCTATGTTGTCAAACAGTGAAAGTCTTGTTTATCCATCGTACAAGCATGGGAACCTTATTTCATTTCAAACATTCACATGCGTTCAAGTTTTGTATAATTTATATGTACCAATGGTTTTTACATGTTTTAAATTTTGTGATTCTAAGGGTTAGAAATGAGACATTACATTTATAAATCCACTATTATATGATATATGCCTAATTACCAGATATGACTCATTAATCTATTCAAACAAGAGCACATAACCATGTGTCACTTGTTGAACAGGAACTGTTGACCCTTCTTGAGTAATTGAAATCATCCCCGGCTTTTATTTGGGTTGGTGTTGCTCAATATTTAATTTTTTGTGTAGTGATTTCTTGACTGCTGTTAGTCTTTTTTGCGTTTTGTATCCTTTTTCGTATCTGGTTTTGTTTTACTAATGATTTTTGAGTGCCTAAGTATCTTCTCCATCTTTTTTATCATCTAAACAACAACATACTTTCAATGCAGTGTTTAAAATGTTTCTTATGGACAGCCCATGTAGTCTTTACATAACACAATTGTCCTCGCGCAACTTTATCTACCGTGACATTCTTTTTATATCTGTCAACCACAATTTATCAGCTCATTTCACAATGCTGATACGTTTGTGATAAATGTCCATATGACATATGCCAAACACAGTCACTCGAAGTAGCACTCTGGGTAAAAGGGCGAAACATTCCCCGCCTTAAGCATGTTAAGCTTTAACATTCTTTGAGAATGTTTTGTGTTTGCTTTTAAAACGTTCCTGATGTAGAACATCGTGTGATTTACCTGATCACGTTAAATTATTTTAAAGGTGGATTTAAACTCGTTAATTACTATGGCCATTTCTAGACAAAACACCATTAAATGGTGTTTTGTGCGATATTTATTGTCAATCTGATTACCCCACCTTCTCCTTTTACAAGTGTGTAATGGGATTAATCTACATTTCCATTTTCAAATTACGTTTGCAACACTTAAACTGGATAGTTAAATGCCATAATATAGCGCACGGGTACTGGAAGCCATACTTTGGAAGGAATAAATGCAACAAATCAACGAATAAGTAGTACAAGGACATATGTATGCACCAAGATTCAGCATTATCTTAATAATCTCACATCAACATGTCCAGTTCAATCTTTAATGTTACAGACCATTTGTGGTAAAGTGGACTCTCAATTTCCCTCTTGTTACTGCATTCTTTGAAGTTTTTCTGCTCTTTGGACGAGTTGTTGTCTCTTTGACACATTCCCCTTTTCCATTCTCAATTTTATTTGAATGTTACACAGTTCTCATCAGGGTGTCGTTCATCAGTAATAATTATGACAGGATCTTTGCATAAGAATGAGAAGTACACATACTGTAACCTCATGGAAATGTCTTGTTCATGATGCATGAAAGCCTCTAAAACAGAATCTGCTGTTCATGAAGTACTATGTTTCCTTGATTGAATACTTGTTCAACCACTGTTTTCTAACCAATCACATAAGATTCTCAACGATTAAATTTCTATATGAAGACCTAAAACGAAAACATTCTTTGTTCTGCTAGAAATATGTTTGCCAGTTTCCACTGTTTCACAAGTGATAATTGATACATTTCTCGGAAATAAACAACACATTGTTGAATTGTATTCAAGGAATGTCGAATCGTTGTGATATATTTGATCACTTCCTGAAACATTGGTCAATGCGGACTGATAAAGGCGGATGACCATTTGTTTTGGCTCTACATTCATTGACTGATGTCCAGACATATTTAATGTTTTCAATATCACCTGCTTCAAGCCATCTGTGTTATCTTTTTGTTAACTTATTTGTACCATGTAAGGATGGAGTTGCACATTGTCTAATTGTACCAGGTTGGCATACATTTATTTCTGGTTAGACAATTGACAAAGTGCATGTTCATAAAACGGTAATTATAAGATGTAAGTATGAAATGCATGGTTATATTTTGATAGTATAAAGGATTTACATTGTATCTTATTCTATAGTAATATTTATAAAATATATACTATATAATAAGTAAGAGCAATAAAACGAACAGTTGTGCTGGCGCATAATATATAGGTGAAAGTACCAGAGATTATAAGGGAAATGCATATATTTCAAAGCATAAGGTTATGAAGAATTTGCCAAGTTAGACTTAGAAGATGCTGAATATAACGATTGTTGTCAATATTGTTTACGGCTGCTGTTGTAAAACCGCCAGGATTCGAAGGAGGAACCACATATTCAATGTTGAATGTTTAAATGATGGAATCTTCTAGTACTGTAGATACATGGATAATTGGATCATTCATAAATGATAAACGTAAACTGTACATTTTGGTCATTTAGTACCTCCTTTTCGGGTCCTAGCATTCATAAGAAGGCATATACACATTAGAAGATGGGTTTATTTCAGTTGAAAGTAATATTAAAGAAGAATAGAGAAAAAACAAACAGAAGTAACTTTGAAATGGAAATCGTCGAATTTGTCTCGATAAAATAACTCGACTGCATCTGAATATTTGGCCGAACGATTATCAACTAATGTTTTAATGACTGTGGAAAAAACTTTTTCCTACATCATGCCTTTTTGAACTACCAGCAAGTGCAGCTTTTTTCAAATACCTTTGTCATATAAACATATTGTTGCGGTTGCTTATTTGAATGCAACACCAAAATAATTATTAAACAGGATAAGCAAGAACATGCCTTGTTAATGGCCTGGCAAGCCGGAGATTAATGCATTTTTTTTCAGATCACTGCTATGTCCTCTTCCAGTTGATAATAAAGAAAACTGTTCGAATCGAGAAGTATACATTCTAGTTAAGTCTAGCTTAAATATTGGAATAACGCCAGTGTCTATACGTGATCCCTCGTTACATGTTGACTACTGTTCTGCAAGAATGGTATCGTAGTAACGATTTTCTATACTTTCCTCACAAATGTTTTGAACGATGTCTTTAGTATATTAATGTGGCATTCACTTGGTATTATAGGGCGCTTAGTTTTACTGCAGGTACGTCAAAAACAAAATTACTTTGTAACCTTCTATAAGGGATATCTGTTGATTTTGATATCTTATGGCGGCCATCTTGGTAAAAGCCGCCATAGTGAAATTTCAATTTGGGTCCATAGCTTATATTGTTTGAAGCACCTAGCAGTAATGAAATGAAAAATTTGAACTAATAGCAGGGTTATTTGTTGATTTCGATATTTTGTGGCGGCCATTTTGGAAAAAATTGCCATATTAAAATTTCAAGGTGGGTTCACAGCTAATATTTTTGAAACACTGCCATGCCAAATTTGACCGTAAATGAGACAATATATAAGTGATATATGTTGATTTTGATATTTTAAGGCGGCCATCTTGGAAATAGTCGCCATATTGAGATTTCAAAGTGGGTCCATAGCTAATATTGCTTGAAACACCCAAAACTGCTACAATGACAAAATTTGGTGCTTTTATCATCAAACCCACAATTTTTTCACCAATCTGCCGGACTACTACTGTCATATGATGAGTGAGGTTACGTGATTTTCATAACATAATAGAAAGTGTTAGATGAATTTGGTTAGTAGATATTGTATTTCAACTTTGTTACAGACGACCAAAAGCTGACAAAACTCTTTAATGATTCCTCGTCACAAAAACTTAGGGTCCAAATAATAATGAAAAAACCTCCATTTCTGTATAAAAAAATCATACAATCCCGGGCAATAAACTATTTATGATATTCGGGTAATGTGTCTACTTTTGACAATACCGGTGTTTATTGAATATACTTAGATAAACGTTATATGATGATTGTCAACCTTATATGACAAATGTTATCTTTTCGAGAAATTCTGCGTATTTTTCTTGAAATAAGATTACATATAAAGGGATTTAATATAGATGTTATTTTACTCCTCCAAAATATGGTACATGTATAATGAAACTTGATTATGACAAGTCTAACGATCATTACAATAAATGTTCTTCATGCTTATTGATTTAATTCATTTGTGTTTTTAACTAATAGATCAGTTTAAAATTTCTTAACATAATAGTTTACTTTTCCAAATGCACTTGTTGGACTTTCTGAAATCATCTGACATTTATTGTCAATAACATTGTACTTGAATCCGTAGCATTCGTGATTTAAAGTGCAACTTCTAGCACAGTTTAATCTTGACATCACGATGATCTCCTTTATAGACACATGAGTACTGTGGTGCTCCTCTAGTGTATAATTGACATCAAATAAACCTTTACCTAAAAAGAATAAAAAGGAAACCAACTTTATAAACCAAATAAATAGGTAAACAGGTAAACTGAAGATGTTTTTTTTCCTTCTGCTTGATTTTTTTTTTTTCAATTTGGAATTATATTTTAATATGATCAAAATGATAATATTACATTAACGGAGCAAGTGTTACTGCAACATATGAGCATTTCGACAATTACTGTCTTTTCAGTAATTCTCGATGCAGAAAATTGACTGACGAGCGCTATCAAGGTTTGGTTGAGTGTTATACCAGATCTGTGTCACATATTAGTATGGGTATGTTCCACTTGTTGTAACCACACTCCAGGCCGCTTTCCTTTATTGTAACATTACCGATAGCGCCTTTATTACCTAATATTTACTTGCTTGAGCTACACGACGGGTCTGTCATGTGGAGCAGAAACAGAATACACATCCGTGTAAGTGCATCCCTAGTTTTTTTAAGAGTTCGTGTCGACCAGTCTTGTCCGTGTAATAGCCTGTGTTTATTTGACTTTTCCCACTTTGTACTTTTTTTATCAAATTTTTTCATGGTTTTGATAAATTTGGTGAGAGTCAAATCATTCATATAGTTACAATTTACAATACTCTATATATGTATATCATTTCAGTACCGAAGCACTCAAGAAACGTGCAAATGGCATAAAAAAAAACTATTTGACCTTTAATCAACTGTACTAAACACCAATACAATGTGGATAGACGTTGCAGACATGTTTATAGAACAGTGTACTCACTTTCTGCACAGTTAATTCCTTTGTATGCGGTATTGCAATTACAAGTGTAACCATTAATTTCATCAGTACATGTACCACCATGCTGACATGGATTGGAACCGCATTCATCGTAATCTAAAAGTACCATTTGAAAAGTAAACAGGATAATTAACACATAGTTATAATGTTTGTATATGTTACTCAGACGAAACTTCAATTGTAACGTGTTCCATGTAAATTATATATCGTTTTATTACTATTTAAACTAAGTTCATCAAACACTCGATACTAATAATTGTCATTTCAGATAATCCAGTTCCCTAATATGATTGATTAAGTGTAATTATTGATTGGTCGATACTCCAAATAGATACCAGGACAAAAATCCTGTACGTCAGATACGCGTTTAGTCTACAAAAGACTCATTAGTGACGTTCTATTAAAATAAAGTTAAAATCGCCAAATAAATAAGTTGAAGAGCATTGAGGACCCAAGCAACTCAAGCAAACATTTGTTTTGTTAGATAAAAAATGTATACCCTATGTATTATAATCCAATTTAAAAATTACTCATTCAAAGAAAATTTGTCATTTTAGAAATCTTTTTTTTTTTTTTTCATTTAACGCTCATCTTTTGTATTGTCACAATTATATTATAATGTTGTTTTTTTTAGCACAACAAAATCATGCTGGACTTGAGAAATACAAGTTAATGACATAAGTATCCTTCAAAAATAAAAAAAAAAATGTATAAGTATTTTACATGATCAAGCATAGCCTGTAAAAATCCTTGATACAAAGATGTATAACTAAATGCAGTATATTTCAGTACACAATCATAAACACAAAACCCTTCGTCGATCGTACATAAAAATTGGCATCTTGGTTTATAAAGACGGGAAAAGTCAAAATTTATCTTATTGCAACCCTTTCAATATCGAAGTACTTGGATTTAGTTTGCACGGCATCAAAAAGCACAGCCCAAACTGACACTAACGGAATATGTCTCAGGCTATGTTATAGAAAAACAAAGGATATGGGTATCCATCCATGACACAAAATCAGTACATGCAGAACAAAAAAACACACAAAAAGCAAAGGAACAGCGCTTTTATTTCTGTTCTTTATCTCAAAGTAACTTACTTTCTTCACAGTTATTTCTCGTGTATCCTTGGACACAGACACAAATGTATCCATTGATTCCATCTGTACATGTACCACCATGTTGACAAGGATTTGAAGCGCATTCATCAATATCTAAAATAAACATTACGAAAAAAGTGTAAACCGTAATGAATGAAGAAAACATGACTTATAACATATATGTTTAAACTTAAATGACAAATTTCTTTTTTAGAAGCATTGGTGAAAAAAGTTGCAAAGAAGAGGGCAAAAAAAAACAAGAGAGTTTGAATTTTACAGATTCATATACTTTGTGATAATTTTAAGCAAACATAGTTATACATACTAGTAATACTTATACTTTACACAAAGTCGGATGATGTTGCATTTTGGCGATAGTATGCATAATTTGGCGGTATTTCAGATTTGATAGGATTCTGTGATCACTTATAAATAATAGAAATATATCTTGTTGATGACAAAATGAAACATGTAGCAATCATACTTCTAGACTTACAATCTATTCAAAATCTGAAAAATATATCTCGTATATATGCAAAGAAGTCTGTTAACTATTTAAATTAAGATATCTCAGAATTCTTTCGATAGATCAATTGTAATAATATATGAAGGCTTTGAACATTTCAGTGTTGATATAAAATAAATAACAGAGCGTCGCCGGACTGATTTTTGGTGTTCAAATAATTTAATTTGTGTGAAAAATTAAACAAACATGAAAATTTACGATAAGAAGCGTGGAACCGTAACAACTTTGTGGTTTGTATTTAAATGTTGTATCATATGGGCTTTTTAGCATTATATATTTATCTAAACACATTGATTTCTATTGAACAAATGCACTCGATCACCCCTTTTAACATGTCAATCTAAATCGAAATTTAATGAACAGGTTGTCGTTGTTTTTTACTTTCAGTATATACGTTGATAGATTTTGTTCACAGAACTGCATTTATTGTATTCCTAGGTTTATAAATGCTGAACATTTATTTTACGAAACACACCTGCTGTTCAACAGGTTCTTGAAGTTTAACATAATGAATTTGAAATAAAATTAAGTACTTAACTACAAATTGGTAAAATATAACTCATTCTATATATTTTTAATATGATATACTATTTGAAATACACACTCATTTGCATGGAAAACGACCTGATTATACCTTAATAAAACATAACATAAGATTTTGAACATTACACTATTTCTACCGATTGGAAACTGAATTTACGTTCCTTTCTCAAATTGGCAATTTACTAAAGCAGGGTACAATGATCACAAGTACTTAGGAAAGTTGTTTGACTTCCTTCCATAATTACATTTTGAACTATCAAACTTGTTTGAATCGCTTAAAAGAATAAAAGTAAACCACCAGGTGGCGTGTGTATTTTTGATAACATATCTATTAACTTCGAAATTGTAACGATCATTCTAGTGTATTTTTGATAGCATATCGATTAACTTCGAAATTGTAGCGATCATTTTAAAATTAAACTAAATTATTATAAAACCGAGAGTCAGTCGTGAGATTCTGTAATGACTGCTTTAACACGGTCTTTCCCCGAATGTAATGATTCGTTTGGAGTGCATAAATAGCGCGAGCATACAATATACGCTATATTCTTGTGGATTTCACTTACTTTCGTCACAGTGAACTCCTGTATATCCTGAATTACAAGTACAAGTGTATCCATTGATCAAATCTGCACATGTTCCACCATTTTGACATGGAATTGAAGCGCATTCGTCAATATCTAAAAATGAAATGAATAATTGATACTTGCAAAAAGTTTTTTTTCATATATCCGGTATAAACAATATATTGAAACATGTTAAAAACTTTACGCCGCATACAACGTTATTAATGAAATTATATGCATAATACTAGGATATTTCCAGCATAGAATATAATTCATGTATAAACGTTACGGAATTAGTATATAAAGACAAACAAAATATCCATGTTATGGATACCTTATTAATACGTAATGAATACGTTGTTTATTTACTGATTTTGAATACATCTTCGTTAGTCTTTGTTATTTGTTATCAATTACATAATTTAGGAGCATCAAATAATGGTCCCCTCCATTGCTCAAAATCATATTTAGATATAAATCCAGAAGATCATGTATGCTGCCGAGTGGTATACCTATCATTTTACTTACACATATTTTTATCCCTATTCTATCAATTTCAATGAGTTATAAAACTAGAATATTCTATTTCATATACGTCTAGAATAAAGATCACTTATAAACTTGCCCTGAATCATATAATATTTTGTTACGCACAAACAACGCAAGCATATACTATCGATACATATCTGACAGTATTACTTACTTTCTTCACATTGAACTCCTGCATATCCCAAGTGACAAGTACAAATGTACCCATTGATCACATCTGCACATGTGCCACCATTTTGACATGGAAATGAAGCGCATTCGTTAATATCTAAAATTAATACATATTTGATAGAACATAGTTGATACTTGTAAAACATTCACTCTTATATCATACCTAAATATTAAACGGGAGCCTTAAATTACACCACATTAAACGTTTTAAACGAATAAGTATATGCACATTGAATATTGTAATGTAAGGATTTTCTTTTTACGTGATAAAGATTGTGTTCAGTCAGTATACTTTTAATAGATAATAAGTAATATGTTTGCATTTTTAATACTATGCATAATGAAATCTTGGTATGTATGCCGTTTCTTTTTTTCTTTTTTTAATATAGTTTAGAGTCATCATGTCATACATGTTAAGCACGCCTGTTGTATATCGAAGGCAGAAGAATATTGAAATGACAGAAAATAAGTATTCGTAAAGTCATAATAGAGATTTCCAATAAAATGACATACGTACCTGACTCGACGTACGCACGTAACGGGACCGTTTATTGCTAACCTATTAATTTTGTTAAATACGTCATTCAAGTTTTAACTAAGAATTCCTAAACTATAACACCCATTCAGGACCAATTTTATCAATATCAAGTATTTCTAAGATGATGAAAAACGAAAGAAATCATGATTTTTATATATCACGTTATTATTGAGATTCCCGCCAAAACTTCACTGTCATAAGATCACGTATATACACGTATCTTTACCTATCATACGATTGATTTGAGTTGTCTTTCATGGTTTTGACCATGACTTTGTTTTTCGATATACTTTGCAAATGAACTTTTTATTATTTAATATTTGACATGCTTTTATTTGTCGTTATCAGATTGGTGTCCCTTTTTCCTTTCGTCTCTTAATGTTTTATAATATTTAATTTCCTTGGGTATTTATTATATGACAGATATTTTTCTAGCAATTTCAGAAATATCGAATTCAAAGTGTTAGTCAGAATTTGTCTCTGTTAGAGTTGATAACTTGGATTGCATCATACCTTATTAAGCATCATTTGACCCCAGGAGTGTAAAGAATAAATCGAAAAAAGAATGCATGCTAAGCATACTAATGCATTTGAAGAGATAATTGAAAATATTTGTTGAACGGACAGACTGGCGGACGGACAGACAGGGTGATTGTAATATGAGTGCGGGTACAATATTTTGTCAGTGTATGTATCTTAGATGCTAGTGGTAAGGAAGTCTGGATCAAAACGGGTAAATCTTTACTTTTTAAAAAGTATTTTTTACTATTTAGAATAATAATTGCATGCCTTCTGGATAATAGTACAATAGCAAGTCACAAGGATAATGGAAGCTGTGAAACACCATTTTACAATAAAAACTAAGCTTTTTGATACAAAGAAACAAGGAGAAAAATCAAACAAATTATGCAACAAAAAGTGATATCAAAACAAAACAAATGTTGCTAGAATAATAATATATGCACTTAAAGCATAAAATATATAAACAGGTTTTTATTAAATATGGAATTGACTGGTAGCAGGCCAGCCTCGATTTTGGGTTCAATTATTTTGTTGGACAATTCGATCCAGCGAATCACTATCATTTCATCATCCTCAATATATATGTAATATTTGTCGCTGGATATAAGACATACATCAGTATCATCATCTGCGGCTAAATCTTCGTCGTATTTATTATAGCTTGTAAGTTTTATAGCTTGATGCTAAATTCTTATCTGATATTTTAGCCAATTTATGTCGAGAACTTATTTTATGCATGCATCTCTTTGCTACATGCTATAAATGTCCAAGTTAAAGCCAATAGAGATCATAGAAGTATGTTTATCAAATGATCATGTCTACTCATAATTAAAACAGTAAGAAAGGGATTGACTCGTCCGACTAAAACTAAGCACAAAAACAGCAACTACTAGCATTTCAAAATAAACTCCATGAACCGATCTTAGAGTATTCACAGCTACTGAACACTATCTTAAAAACAATTACAACTAATAAATACAGAATAATTATCCAGTCTAGAATATTAATCTATTATTTCGTACTGTTACACCACTGTCCCAGGTAAGTCACTAAGTGGGCCCGTTAACATGTTTAACTCCGCCACATTATGTATGGCGGTGACTGTCCCAAGTAAGGAGCATGTAATTCAGTGGTTATCATTTGTTGCTGTGCTTTCGTTCATTTTTTTTGTACATTAATTAGGCCGTTAGTTTTATCGTTTTTGTTGTTTTACATTTGTCATTTTGTGGCATCCTATAGCTGTATATTCGGTATGGGCTTTGCTCATTGTTGAAGGTCGTACGGTAGCCTATAGTTGTTATTTTCTGTGTCATTTGGTCTCTTGTGAAGAGTTGTCTTATTGGTAATCATACTACATCTTTTTTGTACATATCACAAATTAAGTATATAAACACTCCAGAAAAGCAAGACCTTGTGTCATGTCAAAAGCACAGAGTGTCTGTAGGACCATTAGTGTGCATAACTGTATAGCAGATTATATGTAGTTTCTATAAAATGTAATGATAATTTATCAGTAAAAGATACATGATTATTTGTTAGTGGGATTATATATAACTAAATAAATGAATATTTATATTAAAAGAAACATCAGAAACAAGAATATGTGTCCATTAGATTACACGCCAGTATCACATTTCTGTGTTAAGTGAGCTCTAAATCCAGGAAAAATCCAATTCAGTATGTAGTCTTAAACTTTATATCTCGTGCGAAATGTCTAATGTTCAAACATTGTTGTTTTTAAAACGTATTTATAAAAGTCAAACGACAATCATTTAATTTTTTTTTAGTGCTTTACAATTTGTGATTATGGCCCGATCCAAGATATTTGAAAGAAGGCGTAGTTCCCGATAAATAGAGAATATCATATGGCTTTTTTAATTTCACATCCGTATCAACCCGAGACACCAATATAATTCCAAGAGCTCTGCTCGAGGGATTATATTGGTTGAGGGTTGATACGGTATGTGATATTGAAAAAGCCATATCATATACACTATATTATATACATATACCTCACGTAGATGTTTGTTTTTTGTGACATGACGTCATACAGATAAGAAGGTTTGAAATGACGTCATACAGATTATAGGTTTGACATGACGTCATACAACATGGATAAGGGGTTTGATAAAGCCTTTGCAACAGTGACTGCAATCGATGACGTGACGTCATACAGATTAAAGGTGTAATAAAGCCTTTGCAACCGTGCTGATATCGATATCATCACGGGTGGCTGATACAGCACGATTGCCAATGATTGTATTACACATACAATATATCTGTATTTACTACTAAGTATATAATAATTGAATTTATACTGCGGAGCGAAGCAACGCGAAAAAATATTGGACGATTTTATACTAAACATTTGTATAGATAACGTGGAAAATGTGAGATGTTCAAAATTACTTGGCGATCGAAAGGGGGGAGTACGCCCTCTACCCCTGTATCTGCGAATGCACGTTTATGCATACATGATCAAAACCTTGTCCCATGCATTATTATAGTTAAAGACTAAAAAGTACTTTTTGATAAATGTATCAATGATATGAATTTCTGCCCACGTCAAATTATCTTGAATTAAATTATAGATTTTTTTTTTAAGTTAGTCGCGTACACCTTTTACATTCGGGTGTGTTGGAATCCACTTTTTAAACGTTACAACTTATAAAAACAAAAAAAGACATAACTTTCTCGCTTCGGATTTCATTATTTTAATATTTTCATGCTAAATGTTTACTTGGTAGTTTTTAAAATTCATATGTTGAGAAGAACTGAAATATGGGTCAAGTGAAATGACAAAAAATGATGGGTGTATTTGATTACAAGTTGCTAGCTTACTTATTCCATTAAAATATTATTGTCAATAAAATCATTAAAAATTTAATAACAAAATATTTAAAGATTAAAAAAAGTAGTTGGGGTTGATTTTTACATTAAGTCTACATCAGCAAAAAATGCGTGTTCAAAGAGCAAAAAATGCATGCAGTGTATGCTCCCCTCCGTCATGCTTCGATGCAATAGGACGATATACGTTGAGTTAGGTCGGTTATGTCGAGTAAAGTCATTTTATTGGAAATCTCTAATATATATTTTCTCAAAGAAACTTAAATACTATTAACCGTAATAAAATATTCTCTATTTGATTGAATATCAATAAATTAATTAAAAATCATTAGATACTGTGCTGTTTTTTGTGTAATATAATAAAATGTTAATTTATGTCCCTTTCATCAATGTTGTTAAAGAAGTTGAACAACTAGGTTAAGATCAAATAATATATTTACGTTAAATTGTTTACCTGAACATGAGTATGAAACTGTCATATATTTATATTTATTTGGGCATGGGTCAGTTCCAATGTCTCTTGGATGAATAGAACAGGTCTGCTTGTCCTGACATTTTTGTATGACCCAACTTGTTGAGTCCATGGTGCATTGAAAACCACTGTAGTATGGCCCATGGCCATCGGCGCATGTTGTTCCATCATTTCTCCCATACGTAGAACTAGTTATTGTCATAACCGAATATAAGTCACAAGCTACGGTGTCTGTATCCAAGTGACAAATGATTTGCTCAAGGCCTGCAAATGAAATTTACTCATTAAATAGTGTATTGGTGTTATTGTAACTGTGTAAGTTTTCGTGCTTTATATGGTCTCATTTCGTCTTAGATGAATATAATATGCATACCAGTAAACGGGTTGTCGTTTGCAAAATGCATTGAACAATCACCGTTACAAGGAATTGTCCTAAAATCAATCATTTGAGATTCTTACCAAATAATGGGCAGTATATTGTACAATTCGTAGAAAGAAAAAAAACTACATGCAGTCTTTTCAGAAAGACTTCTGAAATCAAAGCTGTATGAACCATGTTCAGAAATATTCTTTGAAGTTCATGATCTTACAAAAACCATAGATTGTTCCTTATTCCATTTTTGACTGATATTTTTCAGTTATATTAATTTTCCTGAACTAATACATTGTTGTTCGTGTTAATTGAGACCGATATAGCACCTGTCAAACAATTAATGCT